CGCCGCGGGTTTGGGGGGGGTGTTGGCCCCCTGCCCTCGCCTCGGGCGCCTGGGCTGGAGGGGGGAGCAGCACCGTTCCCGAGGAGAGCCCAAAAACCCTGCAAGGGTAAAGGTTCGGGGGTAAGGCTGGTGATTAAAAAAAATAATAATAATCAAAATAATGCAATCTCTTATGCTGGGCGGGGGGAGGCGTTGAGGGTCCCGAAAGTCGTACTATGTTACAGCCCTGAGTTGTGGTTTCGGGAGATCGTTTGATTGCGGTGATGGGGAGCGATAGCAGGGGCGAGCCTTTAGGGTACAAGTTGGATGAAGACGGTCAAACTGCTGCAGCCGTCTCCCGTAGAGCTCGGGGTATCTGCCCCCCCCCATCCCTCCCGAGAGAGGGGCGAAGAGCCTTCGCGCAGGGGCGGCAGCTCCCAGCTCCTGCAGGAGTCCGGGCGCAGTGAGAGGCACTGCGGAAAATCGGTAACAAATATTCCCGGGATTCCCGCACCGAGAGGGGCGAGACGCTGCCAGTCAGCTGCAAAACAGCAGCGCTCTCCACATGCCTTTGCCTCTCTGGCTGAGGAGCAGTGGCTCCCCACTCCCAAATACTGCCCGCTGGTGTGCTCATGTTGGTACCTACCGATTTATCCAGCCTGAGAATGAAAAATACAACCTGTCATGGGAACAGTGTGTGCAGTTATTCTGAGCCTGGCAAGCCTTTCCTTGTGCACAATTTCCCTTTTTTTTTTCCTTCCGACCCAGATCCTGCAGATTAGGTTCCCATGATTTCTTTAAGGAAGAAGCACAGAGACACACACAAGAACGTGCTCTCATAGAGCAGCTTACAGTCTGTGCCTGATCCAGTCTGCGAGGAAGAGTGAACTGCCTGGGTAACAGAGGTTAAATCAAAGTCGATAGGTCAGGAAACCATAATAAGGGAGGTTTGTTTGATGGGAAGTTGACACAGTTATGATGGCCAATATTTATTGGCCAAACTGTTTGCCTGAAACAAACCCTAACTTTTGTCTTGTGAGAAACTGGGCACATATCCTGGATCATCTTGTGCCTAGTTTTCCAAGACTAGCCACTATAATTTCAAATACTCTTTGAGGCAGCTATTGCATGAAAAGTTTTTAGTCACACGGCCTAGTTTCTTTGCCTGCAGACATCAATATTTTAGAGACTTTAAAGAGTTCTGCAGTGTCTTGTGTTGGTGGAAACCTTCTGAAATAATTTACTTTTCAGTATCTTGTATTCCCATAGCTAAATGTCGTGCCTACCTTAGTTCACAGCTTTGAAGCTTCTGAACTGCCTTTCTGTCTGGAAACTGGAGGAACAGAGAAAACGTGGCCAATTACTGAGACGGCAAGTTTGGGCAAATCTCGATCTCAGTCATATGAATCGGAGAATTTCCATTTATTTTAATAACATTGGATTTCTCCCTTATTTCTTAGGTTTCCAAGACACAAGAATGGATCCCTGCTCACTGGCTAGAAAATGTACTCGCCTGCAGTAACAAGCGATGAGACCATAGGAAGTCCTTCCGTGTTCCTATAAAACAGTAAAAACTTCACAGAAGGAAAATAAGGGGCTGATTCTCTTACCCAGAGTAGGTGAGGAATTGTAGATCAAATGTTCCAGTTTGATCCGAGAAAGCTAGCTACTTATTGTGCATCAACAGGGGAGCCAAAGGAGTAGCTGCTTAAATGCTTTGTCTGGGTCCAAGAGTGGAATGGCTTAAACTTCAGTTTCACAATATTTAAACTTCCTTGCAAAGGTCAAATCTTGGCAAAGTCCCATCAGCCTTTATGCTTTGTGCATTTTGTGCAGTTTTCTAGGTGAGACCTCCCTGGGGTGAAATCATAGAAATGTACCCTTGGCCTGTGCAGAGATCCAATAACTCCTGGCAGTTGCAGTAGTCATAGAGATCTGCCTTATTGTTCCATAGGAAGACAAAAAAAAATCTTCCACAATTGTGCTGAGTACCTGTTGGCTCACACAGAGAAAGTGTCTGCCTCTCAAGTTTTTTTGTTCAGATCTACTTAGTGAAGTAGTGACAAGTTGTATATCGGTATAAAGCACCATTATTAAATGTACATCCAAATGAAAAGCCTTTGGTTAAAATTTCTGAGGAAAGATTTGTAGCAAAGTGGCAAAACTTGGGAAATGAAAAAACTACCACGATTAACAAAGAGCAGAAGGGTTGTGAGTAGCAGCAGAAAGACTAAAGGGGGCTCCTGGGTAATCGCAGCAAGATGAAATTTCCTGCTTCAAGTGATACGTTGTCTCTAAACTGACTTGGTATAAACAAACTGGACTTACCCTGTTGTCAAGGATAACTCTGTGATCAGGGACAAGCAAATTTAGTGCCACAGGTGTATAGCATGGATAATGGCCTTTGAGTGAGTATACTTGTCTAGAAGACTGCAGAGATTTCTGTGGCTGTGAGCCAGTTGTGAGCCAGGATTATGACCTATAACAAGTTTTCGGTAGACCAGTGAGTAGCAGCAGGAGGGTTGGGCAGGAGAAGGTTCAAGGTACAGACAAGTTTTACGTGTGAAACTCATCTGAACTTTCTCTGTTCTGTCATTTATACTGCCTAACTTCCCCTGCCTGCTGACTGATACATACATAGTCAAACTGTTTAATGTCGTCAGTTTAGCAGCTAAGAGGAAAACAGCTAACACAGAGACAGCCTCACAAAACAGCTAGCACAGAGGCTCACGCAGACGGACCTTTACTGTAATTTCTCGGGGAGCACAACGCTTGCCTTCGTGCCAGATCATCCAACCAGTTTATTTTGTCAGATGCTCGGCTACAGACTTTTCTAAAGACACAGTTAATAAGATGTTGATTGTATGAAGGAAATACCTGAATATTTAGTATGAGCAATTACACTAACAAATTAATAATGTAAGGTGGTGTCAAAAGCAACAGGTTTGTGACACACCGTTGCCACAGTCCTCTGCTGCATGCGCTTTCCTACTTATACCAGTGGGTGCTGGTGGGGGCACGAGGATCCCTCCACCATCACAGTGGGTGGTGTCCCCCCACCAAAGGCCCTCTCATTCTCCATCCCTTAGAACTGAACTGGCTCTGCTCACGTCTGGGGGTCCTCACGGCGCATCTTCACAGGAGGCTTGTCCTGGAAATTTGTCTTTCTGACAAGTGTGACTAGTCTATACCAACTGGTATTGCCAATTCTGCATAATCAAACCAAATCCGTTACAGTCTTTTTATCTTTCGTAACTCAATAAGTGACCCTTTTTCTTAAAGATCATAGCTATTGCACAGACAGTAGCTGTGACCATTTCACTCTCAAATCACTCATTTTAAAAGCCCGTAAGGAGTTACATTATTTGCACAGATTTTGAAAAACTTAACTGGATGTCTTTTTGCACCTGGATCTTTCTATTTTATCATGTTTTCTCAGGAGTTCCTTTATCAGAATAGATATGGTGTCCTCATTTAATAACTAGAGAAGGAAGATGTTAGCAAAGTAAGTCGCCGTACACTGCCTTGTGTTCTTATTTGCTCTTATTTTCCGATATGTTATTTCTTTCTCTACATAAGCTAAGTGCTCGCAACAGTCCCAGAAACCTGACCTTAGCTTACTTGATTTGCAGATGCTCACAAATTGTTCAGTCTCACTGAATTTTGATTTAGAATATAAAAATAGCAGTAGAGGGTCAGACTGAAAATCCATGTAGCCCAGTACCTTGCCTCTGACAGTGGCCAAAAAATCAGATCAATGGGAAAATTTATAAGCACAGATTTTATTCCTTGAAGGAGTAAACAGCTGGGAGGACACCTTGACCCCAGTTGTAGTAATCAAAACAGTGTCAAGTTTGCACATTTCCAAAGAGGTGTACATAGAAAGGAACAAGAGACTTCGAGAAAATGTACTAGTGCTGTTTTCTACAGAGAAGAGCAATTCCCTTAAGTAGTATATTTTGGTTGTAAGGGTATTGGCCAGCATTTCGTTCATGGTGTAATCTCATGTGAGGTTAAAAAATGAGCTGAGAGCATCAATAACAAAAATAAACGACTATGCCCAATCAGTGCAGGAGCAAACAAGGCTGCTCCAATAGATGCAGAGTAGACATTTCAAATCAAGATCATATTCTGAAAACAGACTCAATTGACAAGAAATGAGAGTAGATAAAGTAGTGCCATTTTACTTAAATTGCTGTCATAGATAGAAAGCCATATTCCACTCCATGGCTGTCACCAAGAGTGAGAGAGTGCTAATGGAAGAGGTTGTGAATCATACTAGAATCTTCTTGTCTGAATTATTTAGCACAAATATACTGTATTATAAACATTTTATTTAGGTACATTCGTGGAAGTGTAGGATGATGAAGAAAGAATTAGATAAAGATTAAAATAGTGGGAAGTGCAGCTCAACCCTCTGTAATCCTCCCGAACCACTTTGAAATGTCATTTCAATTCCAGTCTCAGGATGATCAAATAAAATTATCCGTAACCAAGAAAAAAAAGTCCTTTGTGGGAGACAAAACAGACTAATTTGACCTATTTGTTTTACTGCTAGTTATTTTATGTATCCAGATAATGCGATGCTGCTCACCAAACTGTTTACGGTGACTAAAATGTCACCTCTGGGCTCCAGATCAGTGGCAGGGTTTGTTAGCTCCGCTGCTACTTTTCAAAACTGGGTAGGTGATGAAGTTAAAGGCAATCATATCAATTTCATATAGCTATTGCTGAGATGGCAGGCAGTGCATGTATTTTCTAAGGAAGCATCGTGTGTCTGGGCAAAATATCCATTCTATGGGAAACCGCTAAACACAAAATTATCCACAATCTGGAAGTTTTTCTAGTTCTCCAGGGGTATTTACTGCAAAGAAGCTGTTAGCACTTTTTGGTCATGTCTTTAAAAAAAATACAATGTAATCCATAAATTGTTACTAATTCTTTGAATAATGGATACTGTTTTTTTGCAAAGGCCCCAAGCAGTATACGGGCAAGTTTTCTCACAGTTTGTAGCAAGGTGGTATATCAACAGTTGTTGAAGGAGAAGCGATGAAGAGCTCTTCATATTGTGTTTGTGGTGTTTACTTTTTAAAACTGGATTGAATTTCAAAACACGAAGTGGAGAAGTGTACGCCATCCCTGGAATCCGTCTCCTGTTGTGAAGGGGGTGACATGCGAGGGATTGGTCTCCTGTTATAATTGTGTGGAAACTTCTGACTTTGGGGATGTCTAATGAGATCCCGAGAGACAGGTTGTGCTCTTACTAATTGCTCTTACTCATTTGAACAGCAGGATTGTTTTAGACATTTGCGGTAGGGAAACTGTAAAGCACCGCAGAGCTTTACATGAAAATAAGAAAAGTGGCGTTGTGTAAGTGCTCAAGTGAGTTTGAGAGCTGACAATCACAAGTGAAGGACCTGACTCCAGCAAAGGGGCGGGCTGCAGCCACCACACACCTGGGGCAAACAGGGCAGCTACGGCTACGTCACAGGTACAGGGTTTCTCCTGCCTCCTGCGTACAGCTAATATACAGGTTTATCTGTCCCTTCTCAGCCTCCAGGTAAAACCCTGCATGATAATAACTGGCGGTTATTATATATTACAAATCTGAAGATATCGCCGATACACATAATGATTGAATATACCCACCGCTTTAAGTAGAAGGGCAGCCTTGAGTTCAGTGTTTGCTGTTCTCCCACCATCCTCTCTCTCACTAACAGATGGGCCTTATATACAAGTTATGTTTCAGTTGCTTTACGCTAACAAAAGCAACAATCAAAACCACCATTGCAGCCACAAAGAAGAGTGAGGATTAAAGTCTAGTCCAGTGTGCCTGGAGGCTCATTTGCATTCCCTCTTCTGGCTATTCCCCACTTTTTGGCTTTATAAAAGACTCACCTCCCCCCCAGCACGCTTCTTTCTGTCCTTCAGACAAGAGAGCTGAAAAGCTTTCCTTGATGGGGGACAGAAGATCATGTTCATCACACCTCTTCCGTACGTAACACTTGCACATCCTATATTTCTACCACAATTATCGTTTAATTTATGCCTCTCCAGGAAAACACGCCAGTCGTCTCGGCGGTCGCCCCGTTTATCGTCCGCGGCTGCGAGACCACCGGCCAGGTGCAAGGACAATGGCTGTCTCTTAATTTCCCTGCACCAGCTGTTCCCCTCAGCACGCGCCCAGCCTGGGTCCTGCTGGCGGGAACCCTGCTATGGCTGCTGCTGCGAGTTTAATTTTATTTTAAGGGCTAATCCAGACTGCTCATTCTGAAAGCATGCATAAGTGTATCGAGGGGTAAGTACATTTTATAGAAAGGCATATTCCCTGCTTTAAATCTGTCATAGAATAACTTGCAAATCTACATAAGCTTTTCCACTTTTTTTTCCCCCGGACTCACAGAAGATGAACATTAGTATGATAACATAACGCAAGCAGAGCGGTGGTGAATTATGTTAACCTGCTACTGATGCCTACTGAGATTGGTTTTCCAGCATATGGTTTAAATTGTGACTCAAATCACAAGTGATAGCCATCCAAAGTCCAGTACCTGCTAAAAACAGGTCCATGCCAAAAAAGGAGCCTGCAGTACATCTCAGCCCTACAAAGACCCCTGAGCTAGCAGGGAACCCCTTTCCTCGGATCGGCTTATGAACGCAGGGACCGACCTGCACCAAGCAGCTTGTAGCACCTAGGACAATACTTATTTTGGCTAAAAGCTTTTCTGCTACGTGGACATCTGAACAGGAATAGGAGTTTGTAATGAGTTGATGGCACTGGAAAGAAAGGAAAATTTGTGCAGTAAATGTAACGAGGGCTTTGAAGCCCAGATTGAGCCTCAGTCACCGGATTTCACGATCATCAAATCCCTATTTCCCACTTTAAAAATGAAACAAAATTGTGTGTTCTTTCAGAAAATTTTTGGTTCTGGTTTCATGTTCTGCTGTTTACCACAACATTAACTGTGAGATTTAAAAAAGTTGCTTTGAACAAGACAATCTGTAGCAAAAGGAGAGAAATATTTTTGCAGCTGTATGAAAAACAATGCAAAAAAAAATGAGAAGTTAAATCAGGAAAATCTTTTCTTAGGCATAGACTTAGCCTTATTGATGTCATTCACAGGATTCTTCCAATTAATTGTTTTTAATTTAATTTTCCAACTAATCGGTTTATTTCCAAACCTCTTGCATTAATATTAAATGGAGGCAAAACTTAGTGTCTTATATTTATGGCAGTTACATTTTAGTTATTTCAATGAAGATTTACCTACCCTTCTCTTTTCTCCTAACTCAGTCTATTATATTCTCAGTCATAATTCCCCACTTCTGCTTCTAAGATTTCTGCTCGCTTCCCTCCAGCAGAGGAAGGAATTTGCCAGTACTTCGACCTTTCTCTCTCTGCTCATCTAACCTGAGTCAGTAGATGTCAAAGGTAGCTTAGTTATTTCATATTTTTTTCCAGTTTTATCTGTTATTCTTTGTGTGGACTCAGGTGTCTGCAGAATAGTACATTCTTTTCTTCTGCAGGCTAACAAAAAAAAGACAATGGTATGCTTTTAAATACAGTAATAACCTCCCCAAATAAAGGAAACTCCAGTCTTTGAGACGTCACTCAGAAATAGGTTCAGTTCTAATAGACTCCATATCAGTGACTCAAAAATGCACACGTAGCCAATTGAACTGTCACTTCATGCTGAGATACAGAGATGGAGACCACTGGCTATTTCTGGTGAATTTTGACTTGCGGTCCAGATCTGTGTTCTCTTCCTAGCAATTCCATGTGTTTACGGTGTGATGTTGAGCAAACTATTTTATCTCTTTAGCTTAAGATCTCCCATCCATAAAATGGGGACTGTGGTTATCCTTTTTGAAACGTCTTGAAATCCATGGATGAAGTTGTGCCATACAGCAGAAAAATCACCAACGTTATGTATTTACAGAGCAACTTCTAAGAGCCTCAGAATACTGTCCTGAAATTATACAGCAATAAGAAATATAAAGAATATAAACAGTATAGGAGCATAAGGAACGTTCTAGTTAGATAAAGCTGTCTGGAAAAGCTGCATTTCCAGTTCATGGGCAATTTGCCTTTTTTTTTAACCTTTCATTTTTGGCCCAAATCATACAAAACTCAAAAATGATTAATATTTGCTGCAAACTGGAAGTTCCAGGTGAAAATAAAAATCAGAAATACCATGGAAGGATGGTTTCCAAAACAAATTATATTCCCAAATGAATCCTGCATTGTAGATAGTGGCTGCCTCAGATGGGGGTACGGAGGAAAAGAAAATTACTCTTGCAGGATGCCTGAAGAGAACCAGACACAGCTTGTATATTTAAATTACTGCTCCTTTTCTTTTTTTTTTTTCCCAAACCCTTGCCCAAAATGATGGGGGTACGGAGGAAAAGAAAATTACTCTTGCAGGATGCCTGAAGAGAACCAGACACAGCTTGTATATTTAAATTACTGCTCCTTTTCTTTTTTTTTTTTATCCTAATCCTTAGCCAAAACTCAGGGTTCTGTATTTCTTTCATGTTAGGAAGAGAAATTAATAATAAGAGAAGTGGATGTCATTGACACAACTTCGCCTGTTTACAAATAATGTACAAAATCTTATTTCCTTGAACAAGGCAGCAATCAAGAAGCTGGAGACAGCTTCGCGGAAGGGGATCTTGAATGGCGAGCAGCCAGCACTCAAGGCAGCAAGCTCCCAGGAGTTTTTCCCAGTGCCATCCTCCCAGCGCTTATTCAGGCCCTAAGTTATGCTTGGCTCTACCATCTCTTTCTCAGGCACGCTGGTCTCCCTGCACTGCTTTCAGGGCAGCAAGCGCTGCACCCTTGAGATCTGTGTCAAAGCCTCTGTCCCTGGAAGCAGTACTGAGTTAAACGAATCTACCTCTAACAGTTTCAGAGAAAAGCTAAAAAAATGCTCTCAGTGCAATCTGAGAGCTCAAAAAGGAGAAGATAAGTAAACAGAACCCTAAATGTACTTTCTTAGGCTACAAAAAAATCATTAATTTGAAGACTGTTACTTTAGGCCCAGCTGCTGTTTTGAACATCTGAGATTGGTGATTTTCAGAATCAGACTTTGTTAGCTAATAATTCAGTACACTTTTGCCACATAGACAGATTTATGTGGGCAGGATGGGGCTGGATGATGAATAACCTTTAACATAAAGATGGTATACGAATGCCAATAGCATCCCTGCTTTGCACAGCAGACCACTACAAGATTCAGTGCCCTTGCCATTTCTGTCAAAAGTTGAAAGTCCTCTGTTGCTGTAAGAAGTTGAAATCCCTTTTTTACTCCCAAAGGACAATTTGATTGTGTATCACAGGTTGCACACCAGGAAACATGCATGCACTCAGTATAAATAAATAAAAAATAAATAAACAGTAGTATATATGCAATTTCCTGCAGCAAAGACTGTGATGCCAGCCAGGAAGGATAAACTAAAATAAATGGAGAAATCTTTTCCACTATCTAATATTTGGTCGTTCTTTCCCTCTTTTCTATAGTATAGATCCTTATCCTACTGGAAAGAGAAGCCCAGGTTAGGGAACCTCTAAGAACGCCATGAGCACCAGCAACTCTAATCCATACAGAATTTATGGGGTATTATCCCAGGCACATGATCAAAAGAGGACAGAGAGTGAAGGTATGTTCAGTCTTTGGAAACACTGAGAATGCCTGAAGTTTCTTGAAAAACTGAGCTTTTTTCTTCTTTCTTGCTCTGATGAGCAAGAGTACTCCTGTCAGGTACTGAGTTTACATTTAGATTGCCATGTTGTTTACTAGTCTATTACAAAAGTCAAATAGATGTAAGGTCCAGGTCTGTAAATCCTTTGCAGCCAAACAGAAAAAAAAAAAAATGAATTGACAGAATGAAGACCAGTTAGTTAATGGGAGTGTATGCATGGATGGCCGGTAGGGGTTTCTCATTAACCGCTCTGTTGATTTATATTGTTGTCATCACAATCTTTTTGTATTATGTTTCATTATGTTCAAAGAATATTGTCACCATTAGATTGAAATTTGTCTTCATGGAAGGCATTACCCTTGCTGAAGGACAAGCATGATACTCGTGGACAGCCTATAATACAATTTGCCACCTCAAGCAGCCAGCTCAGGTCCACTGTATCCTCATTGCTATGCACGGGGCCAGCTCAAGAATTTGAGGAAAGGTTAACCAGGTGATTTCAAAACACCCATATCTGCAACTAAGCCTTCAGTTAAAAAACAAACAACTACCTTTGCGTAGGACTGAAGAAGGGAAAATCCAGGTGCTTCCCTGCCTGGAGCTCCCTGGTTCAGGGAGGATTGAAAGCAGCTGCTTTTGCTGGGGTTCATGCTCACGCTGCCAACAACAGCCTGGAGAAGGCATGTCCCGAGGGATGTGTGCATGCATTCCAATTAATTGCAGTTTTCATATAAGACTGTGAAAACAAAGACTAATTAATCATCATTTCTCTTTGTCAAGAAGGTAAATATTATTACCCTCATCTTACATACAGGAAAAACGAGTCATAAAACTATCATAGAAAGACCTGGGGCCGGTGCCAGGACTGGGAAACAGGAATTCAAACTCTCAAGTTTGCTAACTTTCACCCTGCTTCTCTCAAACAATGAAACTGATTTCCTGCCGTGTCAGGAGCCTGATCAGGTCTGGAGCCAGCTCCTCCATAGTGGAGAAAGGTAGCAGACAGCCAGACCTGATGTCCCATGGACCATCCTGCTCAGCATGATCCTGCAGAATCACACTCTTTGCTGGGAGCATGGTGCACTTCGTGGCTTTGGGCTTTTTCTAAATTGTTTTTTGTTTGTTGCAAGTGTTGAGGGGAACTGGAGGTTTGCATATCAACCCCCATGTGGATGCTCTGCGAAGCTTTCTGGATAAAATGGCTCTTGTATCTGTCTGTGGGAATCTACATTTAACTATTCAAGCCACCCCTTTTAGCCCTGCAGCCCCCCTGGGTAGTTCAAGGGGCTTCTGGTGTCTTCTGTAAAACCAAAGCGCCAAGCACCAAAAACTCAGCGACAAGCTTTGAAGACCAGCTAATGTTTCATTTCCATTTCATTTTGAACATTTTGAATGTGTGCATATAGACATAGCTGCAGACTAAAAACTTCTAATTACGAAATAAAACCTAGAAATAGCCAGGACTTTGCTTAAACTCAGAGGTATCTCAGTAAGTGCTTTACAGGTCCCATGGTGACTCTGTCCCTTCCGAAGGGAAGGCAGACCAATACAAACGTCTTATTCCCATTATTATAAAACAATTCATCCTACACATGTATCGAGCTGTACTCATTGTTCATAGGCCTACCAGACTGCCTATCTTGAAATAAGCAAGCAGGTTTTGTTCTGCTTACAATACTTCCCTCCTGTAACAGAACAAAGAAAGAAAACGTATAAAAGAGGAAATAAAAATAAACAGTAAACCTAGCAGAAACAACAAGATGCTTGGCCAAATCCTGTTCTCTGGGGGAGATGAAAATTGATTTATCCTACTAACACATCAGTAATTCTCTGTGCTATAAAAGAACTATCAGGTTCAGCTCATTTTCTCCCTTGGGTTTGGTGCTGAAATCCGCTAGCCTCATACTCAAAAGGAGATCCTTTAATCAAAAAAGCTTAGCTCTTTAAACTGAGTATCATATGTAGCTGATATCGCCCTCCCGTTGTACCTGCTGAGTGTGACTGACTGTAGCGATGTGACAGTGATGTGCTACCAGCAGAGTTTAGCCTCAGTTTGATGAGATAAGGCAAACACAGATTTTGGCACTTGTATTTGGGGAAGACTAATATCAGAGAGTAGGTCTCTGTGAGCGTTACTAGTTCAATGGCAAAACTCTACTGAGCCAGTGTCAAGAGATTAGCCTCAAGGAAGGCATTGAATTAGGACTGTGGGAGAGAAGAAAAGGGTTCAGAGGCCAACGTTGCTGGCTCAGTAGCAGTAACAAGAGGTAACCTGAAGAGGAGTTTTGAGGTTACATGTATCACTGGATACTCCAGCTATATGGAAAAACAAATGTGGGGTGGAGCAAGGGCACATGAGGAAGAGACAAGGATTTGAACCTAGCTCAGGGAGTCCATCTCCAGACAGACTCAACACAAGCGAAAGGGGTGTTCACATGCACAAGGAGGGAGGGGATAGACTTTGTGCTTGCCAATCTGAAGGAGGAAAGAAAGGACTTTGTCACTTCAGTGGGTTTCAGCTGGTTAGGGAAGACAACTAGCTTTGCCCTTTTCTTTCTGGAAGGTAAAAAGACACCCTGTCCTTTATTAAAAAAAAAAAGAAAAACAGGAAAATTTCCACACCGGACAATTCTTGTCCCACCTGTGCAAATATCTTTGTAGCCATTGGCAACAAACTTCAAAGGTCCAGCTGCTTCCAGCCAGCACACCAACACCTGCTGATCCAATCTCCTATGCTCTTATTTTATACCCCCTCATTTTACCAGATCATAGAAAGGCAGGAGGAGGGAGAAATCCATGGGATTTACTTTAATCCCTGAATGCAGCTTTGGATCTGCTTTGTATGGTGTCTGATCCACCCCCTTGCCTGTATAAACAATCCCCCATGCTGAACAGGCAGTTCTACACTGCTCATGGAGAGGAAAAGGAGAGAAAAAAGGGTAGTGAGAAACAGAGACAGTAGATAGTTTAGGTAAGCATAACATAATAGAGGCAGTGTTTGCATTTGTGCCAAAAAATTTCTACTGGTTTTCCTGGCTTCTTTACTAAAATTTGCTTGGCAGAGAGTAATTTTACAGACTCTAGTATGTTTAGCTGTGGGATAGAGCAAAAAATTTGGAAATACCTTTCGTATTTGAATGCACAGATTAATACATATTGTAGTTTGTATGAGTCTGGCTTTACATATGCCTAGGATTTAAATGTAAATCTCTGCCAAACATAGGAGTTTTTAAGAGGGTTAATCACATAGCTTTTTTTACAGTGTGTGAAGTGATTTTAAGCCATTGGGGAGCATTAATACCTTGCAGGGGGAGTTCCAGGTTAGAAGACTGCAGTTTGCAGCACTGCTAAAACATATAAATCACTTCAGCTACAGTGGAATGTGATGATTTGAAACCATCAGGTTTGGAAATGGAAAAAAGACACGGTCTTGAAAGATTCAAAACACCTTGCATATGCCAAGCCCAGTCCTACAGCTCTGATTGAGATATATTCAACAAATATCAAAGTACAAGCTGCAAGATCAAACACTTTCTACTGGAAAATTTCCAGTAAAACTTACCCTTTCTAGCTCTGCATATATTTAGAAATACTGGGGCTAATTGTGTAGCAGTTGCACTTTGTGCAATCACCTGCTGTTGTGCAAATTGAGAATAAAACACTTTTTCTGATCTAATAATAATTGTACATCATTTTACCATCTTTGTGAGGTGCAAAGCCATGGAAAATGAATGCTTTGTTCTGTAAGGAGAAAAAAGTTGGAGTGATAATTTTCTTGCTTCCACAAGATTGCCAGGCTATAATAAGCAGAAGAAGATGCCAAAAAGAAAGGCGCCCACAAAATTGTGGAAGTTACATAAAATGGAAGTGGAAAAAATGAAAGCACAGCAGATTCACTCATACTAGCAACATCAGCTGGAGAGCAGGCAAACGTTATCATCTTTACTAACTTGTCCTCTAACCTCGCTCACAGGCAGCCCTGAGGACTGGAGGAAAAACACAGCTTGCATCTAGTTTACATATTATTTGTGCTAGACCTGCGCTGTGTGAGACCTAGTAACGTCCTAATAGGAAATGTTAAGAAAGAAAAGCTTTAAGCGGGGTTCAGGAAAAAACGGTTGTTAATTGGTGATGCTCAACCACTCATTTCTAAAACATATTGTTTATCCACAGAGAAAAGAACAAAAAAAAACTTCTAAGCACACCAAAATTGGTCCTCTTCTCAACAAGTTCCCCAGCTTTTGCCATGACTTAGTTCAGCGGTAAATATGATATGAGAGAGCAAACTGGACTTGTATGTGCAGGTGGTGAGGAGTTATATGTTTAGCTTGATTAATATTTGCTAATGTAGAAGATACCTGACCTTCCTGGAGGAATTTGGTTATACCCCTGCCTTGTAGCAAGCCTTTACAAGTTCGAAGGGAGTGACAAATGTTCCTCTGTGGAAGTCCATCCAAGCTTGGACGACAAATAACATTTTTCAGGTTGCCGTGGGCCTTCTGCCATTTGCATTAGCGCTGCCAAGATCCCACCAGAATAACTGAGCATGAACCTTCCCAAGGGCTGGGCCCATGCACTTGCCAGCGCAGGAGGACAGAGTGTGCTATCAGGACCAGCTCCCACATGGATCCAGAATGAGACCCTGCTTTCCCATCTTCCTTACAGGTGACTCCGCAAGGAGAAAGTGCTCCTATCAGCTTGGGAACATGAAGGAAAAGAAAGACCTCCACGTAATGCTTTTTCAGCAGCACAGTCAATGATAAAGTGCCTGTCTTCTTTACGCAGGCCACAGTTGTTGCAGAACCTGTAGGAACTTGATGTCTCTAAGAGCTCTATTGCTCTATCCGGTTTGGTTGAAATCAGTTAGCATATTCGAAATGTGGAAGGGAGAAAGTGAGAGACAAGAGACAGGAAATCACATGTTTTATTTCCTCCGGAAGTATATATAC